AATTCGTGTGTTCCTACTAAACTATAGACTAACCCAACAGTTTCCTAGTACCAAGAAGCCGGGAACCAGAAGCCGAGGAACCGTAGCCGACAGCCAGATAATAGTTATTAAGGTTCCCTATTAAAATATAGAGAAAATTAAAGTTTTGTCTGTGAAATTAAAACGAAATCCAGATTTTCCTATGAAAATACAGAAAATTCAAATTTTCCTACGAAAACATAGAAAATGAGTGAAAAGTAGAGAAAATTCAGGTTTTCCTCTTCGAATATAAAGAAAATGGAGTATTTCCTAGTAAAATATAGAGCTAAGCCCCAAACCACCCCCAAAAAAAAATTCAAAAAAAAACTCCCAAAACAATTCTTGGCCCAAAAATAAACATCCGCATGTTGACTTCAGGGCCTGGGCTTCGTTCAACGAGCTGCATATGAGATGCGTGCAAAGCAGCCGCCGACGGCCAGCACACAGACGTTTGGTGAGGCGAGGAACGGGTGCCTTTGTGCTTTGTGGGTGTCTGACCAGGGACTGTAGCCGAAATTGAAATTCGAGGGCTCAGGCTCGGACGACTTGAGCGTCTCGTTCTCGAATCTGGACTCAGGTTTTCTGCTCCCAGGCACCCTGGCTGTGCTCAAGTACCTTCGACTGCCTCAACTCCACTGGTGCGCTGCCGGCGGAGGAGACACTGCGAGCGCGAATCGCCACATCGTCGGGTCAGCCGAACCTGCAGTCGTGGTGTTACTTTCAGGTCAGATGGGACACCCTTGTGAAGAGCTGCCTGGTGGACCAGGATCTGTCACTCACTGCTCGGCAGCTCTTCCATCAAGCACTCCAGGCCCATCCTGCTGCAGAGGAGAACGACGCGCAGTACTGCTTCTTGAACGGACTTTGCGAAGAGCACGGTATCAGCCCAGCTTCCACACTGGAGGATGCAACCGCGGTTTGTGACCGACGATATCCGGAGCCCAACGGCTGGAAGTCAATTGGTTTTGCTGAACCGGCCTTGCAGCAACCTCCGACAACTGTTCCCCTAGCAGAGATGTATGCGAAGTCTGCTTGTGCACAAGGCAGTTTCCACTGCATGGCCGTGTATTGCCAGGAGACTTACTGCAAGATGGATGAGTACAGGCAAAAGTTTGGTCAGGGCACACAGGAGGCTCTGTAGACGTAGACGATGCCTCCGAATCCAAAAGACAGCAGCATTTGTGCGGGAGCAAGCCAGAGGACTTGACAAAAAGGTGGCCTGCTCATTGAATGGAACCGGTTCATTGTACCTGCAGTGCAATACTGTAGGCGCTGATGGCATTCGTGATTCCTGTATTTACCACCCTTGCCCTGTGAACATTCAAATATGTTTTGCTAGCAAGTGCATTCAATCCTGGAGTTTTGCGGAAAGACACCAACCAGGGGCTGTGGCGGAGGTGTTTGGAGCTTGATCTGGGCATATCTGCGTACTGAGCCAGGAGACTCCACTGAGTTCTCAAGGCCTGGCAGTCTGAGAGTCTGGAGGTTTGAGTGCTGCTGGGTATCTGCCAGGTGGACGGCGGCGCTGGTCTTCCATGACCGAGGAGGCCGCGTCCCAAAGTGTGCGACTGAACGAGATGGCACGAGTCGACGAGCGTGCAGGAGATCATGACCGGAGTCCGGCGGCCTTCTAAAGATGCACCCGGGCCTAGATGCTTTCATGGCACACTTACAGAATCTTACAGACTTCGAGTCTTAGGCTTGCAAATCTTAGGCGTCCCCCCCTTCTCAGATCCGCACAGGTCCACCCGGGCCTCGACCTGGCCGCGTACCCGTCTCCGGGCATGTCTCCTGCAGTGGCCCCGTGGCGCAGCCGGCAAGCGCGGGTCTCAACTAGAATGTGAGTATGCGGTTTAGGGTTGAGGGTCTGGAGCATTCAGCGAGTCTAGGGTTTAGAGTACATGTAGATCGTGAGGTGGCTCGCGGAATGGGATTTTTCTTTGAGCATCTCAGGCCTTCGCCGCAGATGCGGGTGCCCGCCGCAGGCCATCGGGTCGCGGGGTCCGGTGGTCAGCCTGTAGTCTTCAGACTCTGTCTTTGAAGAGGTGGGCCTCACTTTCGGACGACGAGACTCAATCGCCGATGCTTTGGCCTATGAGGTGCGTTTCCAAGTTCGTGACGTCGTGCTTCCTCAAGCCGTGAGGTCCCAACCCTAAATCCTACGAGCTAATGAGGTGTCCACTTGTACCTTCGTCTTTAGTATCACTCGCACCACCGCGGCACTTGCTTGTGGGCTTCCGGGCTTAGTGTCGTGATCAGGCACGCTTATAGTTGGTGTTTATCTGCAGCCTGCAAATGTCCACTTGGCAATATGAGCAGGTTTGGGTTTGGGGGTTTGGAGGGCCTTTTCAAAGTCTCGGGTTGGGGGGGTTTGCGGTTCGGGATCTAGGGCAAGTTCAATGAAGTTTGGGTTTTGGCGGTTGGCGGTTCAACTTCTGTTATCGCTGGGCTCTCCACGTCCCTCCTTATCCTCCTTGTAGACAATCTTTACTGGTCCGTCTCAGCACGTGCGTAGCAGAGAGCGAGGAACTGGGTCATGTTTTCACATGCTCTGGAAACCGGGCACCGGAGGGGAAACCAGCCAACTGTTTTCCCTGACTGCGGTTGAGGTGACCTTTCAAGGGAGGTCTTGAAAGCTGTTTCGCACATGCACGCAGAAGTTCTCAGTCGAAGGTGTGCCTGCACTTTTCAGAGGTCCGCAGTGTACGTTGCTGTTTCCCTGCCTGCAGCTGGCCAGGTCACCAGTTCTTCATGGGCAGCCGGCGCCCTTTTTCACGAGTTGGCCTGGGCGTGTTTGCACAGAGCTGTCTCTCTCTCTCTCTGCGCATGTCTGTGGGTTTGCTATTCGATTCTGGAGGGGGGTCAATTGGCATCAAGGTTCTAAGCCACGTTTGCAGCTGTGACTTGCTAGCCGAGGGCACGACCATGAGTGGCTTGTGTAAGAACCTGATGATTCGACACAGCTCGACTCTCCCATCGGATCGTTGCATCCTGCACGTGGCCTACAGGCACGTGATTTTGTCGGTGTAATTGATTTTCATTGCTATTCCAAGGCGTGGAGGGTGTCGTAGCCACAGCGGCACACCATTGATGGGACCCTCGGCAGGCCAGCATTTCTTCTACGGGGCCTCTCTGCATGTTGTTGCTTGTGGCAGTGGGGCCGAATCTGTGTCCGTGCTGGCCTTGTGAGGCGGAATTCCAGGACTTGCGAAAGTTTCCGAGCATGCTGCGGCTGGGCAGAACAGGGACATAAGGCTACTTGAAGTACGTGAGATCCGGACGCAGCTTTCGAGACTTCTTGCCAAGGTCGCTGAGGAAGTGGAGGACTTCATGCTACCTCCGACACCACAACCACAGGCACGGATGGGGCCTTCATTTCCTGGGAGGTGAGCCGACTGAACAGAGCATTTCCTTCACGAGGCTCAGTTGGGCACTTCGCCAATCTCGAAGCCGCCTAGTCCAATTCTGGTTGTACGATTATCATATTCTCGTTGGATGTGACACAGTGCACGAGCAGATCACGTTCTGCTGAAGCTGAGGCAAGTGCCAATGACGCCTGAGAATTTCCCGGCTTCTTGGCATGAACACAGAGTCAGAAGTGGGTCAAGACATCCTGCGAGATTTGAAGCTTCCACACATTGCAGATGATAATGACACAATTACAGCGCTTGCTCTAATTCGGCATGTGACCTGTGCTGCCCAGATGGCCTGGCCGAACCCATGGGAGTCCGGGCCGATGTTTGGCTGCGACCAGGCCGCTAGTCGCAACGGGGTTTCCCGAACATTCGGTAAAAACGATGGCAAGATCTTTTGAGTGTACCTGGTTGACTTATATGAAGTGTTTTGCTTTCATTCCACGCAGCTCCGCTCCACACCCTGCTCCACTCCATTGCACCGTCTGTCTCAGGCCATAGCTGCACAGTGGCAGCAGCAGTCTTGACCCTACCGGACCCTGCGTGGGCTTTGTGATATTTCGAGACGGTGACATCACCTGATGGCCGAGGTGGATCATGCGGCAAGGCGATCCGGCCTGGCCGCCTCCCTGGTCCCAGGCTCCGGAAAGCAAAGCCCTGACCACAGGCAGCATTGGATACTCCCTGGTGCCAGGCAGGCGGTCTCTACCCTCTTGCTCCGCAAGTTGCTGGAGGCATGCAAGTGGCTGCTCTGACCTCTTTCTTTTTGGGATTGAAAACTTGACGTTGCTTCAGAGAAGCAAGTCACTGAGTTTGGCAGAGTGAATTTTCGCTTCACCCCGAAACCTATTTGGTAGGCTCAATGAGTGTCTAGGAGCGCATGATCATCAAGACACTGGCCACAGGCAATTTTTCAATCGAACATCCAAGTTAGTGACCACCGGCCGTGCAGTGGCCGGCATCTATATCTCCATCTCAAAGTACAATCTCAGCTTTGACATTGCAGGTTGTATCGGCAAGTTCTACACTGGTTCTACACAATCACTGTTTGGGCCATGCCCGCAGCTACATGAACAAGCAGAATAAGTCTTCAATGGAATTGGCCCGCCTCCGTTGAAAGCCTTGTTCCGTACAACCCAACGGTGAGGGAGCCTGAGCAGGCAGTGCTGTTTGGCCTGTTGTTTTCACTCTCTAAAACTCCTGAGATGTGCAGGTTTCGGAGCTTCGCTCTCAGCAGGGCCGTTGCCACATATGCGAAGTCGCAAGCCAGTTGCTCCACCATTTGTTTGGCAACTCCCCAATGTCTTCTTTCGGCAGTTCAGTTTATCTCGCGACGGTTCTTGTGCTAGTCTGAATCGAACTCTCGTGCAATCCAAGGCAGCAGATTCTGCGAGCAGCAGCTTTGGTTGGGCCCGGGGCTTGATGCATCACGTGCGAATCAGCACGACCAAGCTGTGGCTGTCGGTGAGAATCAACCCAACAAAGCGATCATGATAGCAGCGAAGGTGCCGATGGGAGCTGCTGGCGCCGAGATCTCACAGGACTTCACGGGCCCCTCAAATCTACAAGTCTGCCGTTCTATGCTTGTCCTCTGCCGCTGTGTTTCTGTCTTTGATTAGGTTTCGCTTGTGTAGGTACTTCCAGTCTCAGCATTTTGCGACTGAAGATATACACATCTGTCTTTTGAACTGACTGATATGTGCAGCTGTTTTGCAGTGTCCGACTTGCCAACAGGCGCAAATTTGGCTTGGTCAAGAACAAGCTGCCGAACAGTACGCCACACAGCGCTGCCTGAGCGCATGTTGCATTGAGCCGCCGTTAGAAATCCTGCACGGAATTTCCAGAGTCTGCTGGCATTGTGGTACACCACACTGCTGCTGAAAGCACAGTTTTTGGCCGGCCAAGGATGCAGCTGCCAAGCGACCCGAGTGGCTCCGCAGCCCCTTGCCCGCTTGCCACGGTCTCAATGCGCTAGCACCTCCGCTGCGTCAGTATGCTGCTCGCTGGCCTTTGTCGCTTTGCTTTGATGAGGTCTGGGTCGGAGAGCGGGCCTTCCGAGCATCCGTGCCGCCGGCACTGTTGGTGCTGGGATTGGATGGGCCAGTGCTCTTGATACTCTCGTTCTGTTCGTGCTTCTCCTTGGCGAAAAGGCTGCTGCCTCTACAGTAGGACTCTAGGTTCAATGCATGAGCATTTCCTGGTTCTTCGGTCGAAGGCAGCGGCCAAGGAACAGATCGAGGGCCTTGGCTATTCGATCAAAGTGTACAGGACCGGTGAGCTTTCAATCCTGTTTGTCAGCTTTTCAGGCTTGGTTGCAGTCACCTTCTCGCTGCACAGAAAAGGATGTCCCTTGCAGATAGCTCGGGTCGATGTTGACTCTGTTCTCCCACAGGAGCCATGACCGCTGCAGCCGGATGCTGGATAAGAAGAGCGACTGGGAGTGCAAGCTAGCAGCTAGCGGTCGAGAAATCGTCAAACACCGGTCGGTAGCTCGTCGTGCCACCTCCACTTCGCTCAGGTGCCCTAGCGTCGCACTCCGTTTTCCTCGTCTCGGAGGCTGAGGGCAAAGCAAGAGTCTGGTTTGAGCAGGGGCAGCCAGGATTCAGATAAGAGACCAAGTTTCGCTATTGTCGGATGGATAAATGGATGGACGGATGGATAGATGGATGTATGCACATGCTTATGAACTGATCACAATTTATGTTTATGCCTTGGTATATGTAAAGGTCAATGTAGATATGTACATATATATATATATATATGAACATATATATATATATAGACAGGTTTTAATTGGTGTTGAAGGGTAGAGTATTATGTATGCGATCTGCTGTATATGTAATGTACGACGATGCAGATACTACAGGTAAGATCGATCAAAGGCAGTACGTGCATGCAAGCTTACGTGCATACATGCAGAAGCCAAGTCTTTGCAGATTCTAGCTGGAGCCTTTTGCAACTTGAGTTCTGCGCACTTTTTCTGATGCTCGGGCCTGCTCCCAGCTTCTTTTTGTTTGCCCGTCTGTGCTCTTGTTGCCACGACCAGACGTTAATGTACCGTCTTTCCACACGTGGATCGTGAAGCCTAGGATCTGAGCGGCAATGTGCAGGCTGATGCGAAGCCAATGCTCCAGTACCTGCGGAGCCGATCTGCGACTGGAGTGCGCGTGCTGGTGCGCCGCCCCGAACACACATGTCCAAGTGTCCTTGAGCCGGTAGGCGTGACTCCGGCAAGCGGCAGGACAGAAGTGCTTCAGTGTTCGTTCGACATGCGCAGCCGTCTTGGTGCAAACTCCCCAAACTCCATCTCCGCCATACAGCTGCAATGCGCCCCAATGCTACTCGGAAGCACGAAGGCTGATCTTGCTGGCATGTTCGGTCTCCCCAACAGGCGTTTCAGGAGGTCAAGCCGGCCGTGATCGCCAATCTAAGTGCCCCAACATTCCCAACCTCTTGATGCATGGATTGCAATGATTACAAACTATGCAAACAGGCTGCGCCAAAATTGGCTTGTAAATCGCACACAGCTGCTGGTAAGCCACTGGGCAAAGCTCAAACCCATGAGGTGTGTACAAGTGTACAACAAGGAGTCAAAGCTGCGCGCGATGGGACATGCTTCTCCGGACCTGCGTGCGTGTAAGTTTTGCAAGCAGGCCTGCGCAGCAGTGCGGGTACGTTGGAATGCCATGATTTGCGGTCCCGAAGTGTGAACTTGTACCAATGTCCTTGCTGCTGGCTGGAAGGCGGGAGTTTTGGCGGTGGAGCAGTGGTTCCTTTGTGCTTCTTCTGACGTTCTCGTTGCGATGGGGTAATCATGTGGCCGGAAGCATGAACCTAACGGAATCCCTGTTCGACCAAACTGGTATTGACAACTCCGCAGTTGTCACAAGAACCAATCAGAAACAAGAGACAAAGCTTGAGTTGTTGTTGGCCAGCTGCTAGCTTCTGTGAAGCTAAGATCCAGCTTGTCTTTGTCATCCCTTGAGTCCTGTGGCACTTATGGCCATTGCCGGAGTCGAGTTGGCGGACCGGCCTGAGGACTCGCTCCTGCTCACGAACGTACCGGTGGTGCGGAGAAAGACGCAGGAACATTTGTTTCGAGGCACACACCGCGCTGATTGCCGCCCAGTATGCCCAGTGCAGGCCAACACCGCGTACACCTTCGATGCGTCGAATGGCGTGGGGAGCTCGGCTTCGGCTTCGGCTTCTCCTTTGTGCCACTGGCTGCCAAGATGTTGTCGGCGGCTCCAACGCCTCCACCGCTTCAGCGCAGCTTCAGCATCGGCTCTCTCTTCAGGCCGTCCAAGAGCCAAGAGTAGGAGAGATCAAAGGCAGCTCTGAGCTCGAGCGGGCAGGTCCCTGCCGGCCCTGAACCCCGAGCCGACGCCAAAGCGGAGTTCACGCCGTTGCTCGGAGATGCCCAGTGTCAGCATGGAGGCACCTGCCGGCTGCGACAACGGGGCCCTTAGGCCCTTATCCCAGCGATCTTTCGAGTCGAGGCGCTGCTGGCCCGAAGCTCACAGCGGCGGCACACGCGGCTTGGAAAGACGGTGATGATCACTTCACTCGCCTAGGGCCTTGGGGGAGGGAAGACAAGAAGACGGGTAGTGAAATGTAGTGAAGATCTCTTTTGAGGTGCTCCGGGCCCAAACTCCAAGCCTCCAGGGCCTCCAGGGCCTCCAGACCACGGTTGGGACAAGGGCAACGGGCAATGGGCAATGGAACTGGTCATCTCAAAGAGTCTTGCTGCGATGGTCCTCCGTGGGTGGGGATGCCCTCTATCTGTCATGCCATGGGGCGCAGGGTTGTTTCTTGCGTCGGTTTCAGAGTGTCTCAAGGCTCTCCCTGTTGGGTCAGGATTGTGTTGGTTGGCATGGTTTGAAGAGATAGCCTCCTGAACCAAGGGATCCTGGGCGCAAAGTACAGCTGGTTTTCCATGGCCCGCAAAGCCTTGGCGCCCAGATTTAGATTGACAGAGCACACGAGAAAGCTTTCTTTGACTGCGGCCAGAGTGCGTGCTAGGCAGCCGGCGGCCCCCCGTGCTGGCCCCGAAGTCGGCGCCCCTTGAACCTCGCCGGAGGACCCAGTCCCCATCCAGTCCCCAGAGTTTCCGAGTTGTCAGGTCGGAGCCGCTCAAGGCGGAGAGAGAGAAGGATGCAGAGACTCAGAAGCCTGCGGAGAAGTCGAGCACACTGGAGCCGCCGGAGAAGTGCAACAGTCCTCGAGCCAGCAGGCCGTGTCTTACATGGCATGCTAGGTCTTCTTGAACTGCATCGTGCATTTGAGGGACACTACAATGACACCCAACTCTGCAAGCCTGGCATCCACTGCTGATGATGAAGGAGACCTGCACGACAAGTTGCTTTTCAGGTAACTAGCATGTCACTCTGCGCTCCACTGCAAGCGACGAAGATGTGTGCGGATGCTTCTTGTTTAAGACATGCCGATGCCAACTTTGTGCAAGAGACCGAAGGAGGCAACACCCCGAAGCAGGTCCGTTTCCGAACGACAATCACGGAATGCGAGGCTTGTGGCTGAGGGCAGCAGTGGCAGCTCTTCTGCTGGGTGTCTCTAGTTGCGAGCTGTCTCGAGCTCCGGGCAGGTATCAACCCCGTACGGAGTGATTTACGATGGCATTCGCCCCATGGACTTTGATTTCGATCGCTGGGGACGGAAGGCTGGTATAGGGGTGCTGTCGTTCTTACATAGATGGGAGTTGCAAGGTGACATGCTAGAGATGTGCATGTGCATGGGTGCGGTCGACACCGCTGGCAGATCTACCACTTCTTTCCGAATCCTGAGGAGGCAGAGGCCCCTTTGCTTGGCGCACTTGACGCAATGGGAAATTCTCGGACCTGCTGCATGGTGGCAGGAAGACGATGACTGAGGTGGTCTCTGCGTTGAGGAGCTTCGCGACTGTCGTTTCTGCAAGCATGAAGCGACTGGCGTGGCTTCACTGATTCGCGCTCTATGTGCGTAGGTCGTCTAGATCCAGTTGCGATCAAAGCTGGATCTCAAGGGGTCTCAATCACATCCTGGCGATGAAACATAGGGTGTGAGCAGCAACGCTCACCTGCAAACCCTGGATGGAGGAAACTGTGCCCCACCTCACTACCTTCAAGTCTACTGCCTCTGACTTCGGTTGTACGACGTACTGTTCGTTTACCTGGTGTGTGTGTTTGTGTGCGTCAAGGGTAGAACTCATGTCCAGCTTCTTGGGTTCGCAGCATGACACCGTAACGGAATGTGGGTTATTAGTCTGGCTGCGAGCATGCGTGCAGGTAGGACCGGTATGCGCATACTGTCCTTTGTCTTGCTGGTCCCCGGCAGGACATCGACACAACGTGCTGCAGAATTCAGGCCGTTCAACCTACCCGAACGTACTATGGAAATGTACGAGGGAGATTCGGCGGACGTCAGCAAACGTGTATCTGAATGATGCTGTTATCAGCTGCAGACGTCGATGTGTCTTGAGCTGCCGCCCTGCCCGAATCTCCAAAAACCACGATTTTGAATCCTCGCATCTCGAGGGACTGAGGCCTGAAAGGCCTCCCAACTGATCTGACTAAATCTAGCGTCGACCTCAGCAGTCCGACGGGACCCCCAAGAACAATGCATGGCATAGCATAAGAAGGTGTTAGACGAAGGGGTGGGAGGGAAAGGGAAGTGTCAATACACTGCGAGTGGGTCGGCAGCGTGGCCGGTGGCAGAGCCCCGCAGTCTAGAAGCCAGTCCAACCTTCGCGTTTTTTCAGCGGTTGGCAGTTGCTAAGGCTCTGTTGCTTCTGCGTGGGCCCTCCAAAGACTCCAAAGCATCTGCACAGCACGAGCCTGTGTCAAGGGCACAAACAACAGGTCCAAGCACTGTCTTCGCACCGACGCGCCGGTAATTTGGGGCAAACAAGTAGGCTCCTGGTGGTGAGTCTCTCTCAAGGAGAGAACTTGCATTGCTTGCATGATCTGCGACCAGAGTGGCGCAGTGCATCCGCACAGTGTCCCGAGTTTTGGCAGATGTGGCACAGCCTGAGGAGTGTTCGGAGCTCCTTTAGAGACCTGTGAGATTTGCCCGTCGCACGGGAGAATTAGAAGCACGATACCTGGTGTGTCACTGCCACCAAACAGATATGCACTCGATGTGATGAAGCCCAACCACCAAGCTTGTTACCAGTGGCAGTTGGCATTCCATCCGCTCCTACACGAGTGTTCCGATGCACCGCCCAAAGTTGCCTGCGCTTTACCTGCGCCATGCAGGTTGCAAGGTCAAGTTGTTGCGGCTCCTGCTGTCGGATGCGATTGCTACCTGGTGTGTGCGTGCCTGTTCACGCTTCTCTGCAAGAGGTGGATGCAGAAGGCTTCTCGGCACAGCAGGCGGGCCAGAAGTGCAGCGACAATTCCAGGGGCGCCGTGTTCCTGTGTTTCTTTGAGGTCTGGGAACTCTCAGAGACGTTCCCAGAGCTGGAGGCTGGGATGTCTCGGCGTGTCGGCCTAGCCGGGCCTAGCCTGCGGCCTGCGGCAGCCTGCGAGGAGGCCTCGGCAGTTGGTGTCTGCGCCTCCTGGGACGAGGCGAGGCCGTCGCAGGATCGTGGCAAGACATACTGTAGGACTGTAGGGTCAAACGGTCGGGCAAGTCGATCTCGAGTTGCATGTTGTGACCCGCTCCAGCTTTTGACATCTCTCTGCGAGATCTACCAGGAGGCACGCGCAGCTGCATTGTGCTTGTGTGATGGGAGAAGGCAGTGAAACAAACAGGAATAGGTCGGCTGACAGATGCCTGAGTCTTGCACGTATGTAGCATGCCGAGTGTGACCGGGTAGGGGGGGGCCACGAGGACATTCCTGTCTAAAAGGCTTTGTACCTCGGCCTCAGTGCTGCGAACGCCTGGGCCAAAGAGAGTCCATTGCATCCCTGAGCATGTCGGTTGCCGGCCGTGGATGATTCCGAGGCCACCAAGCTCCAACCTGCAACCGGCCCTGCCCGGGACACCTGGTGCATGTGTTTGCTGCTCGACCCCGCTTCCCTCCCATCATGTGCCTCCTACGACAGAAGTTTGGATCAGGCAAAGGGACTACCCTCCAGTGCTCTCCCCCGAACTTGACATGCACCAGAAGTCCGAAAGCACTTGCCCGATTCTCTAGCGGCATCTTTCAGCACCACTCACCAATGTTGGGCGAGATGTTCCTGGCATTCTCCAAACACGCATGAATAAGGACGGCTCATCACTGGAGGACCTGTCCTGACAGAACTCGCAGCCATCTACTTCTTCGGACACTCAAGCTGGCACCATCTAGATTCCAGATTCTAGATGCCTGATTTGACACAGGATTCTGCACTTGCATTGTACATAATTACTCTTTACAAACAAGCATGTGCTAAACCGTGCCCGATGTGATATTCGGATGAGTTGCTTGGGGTCAGCCTGGCTCGTTTGCTTGCCAACAGTTCGACTGCACCGTTGGCGGTTCTTCGGGCGTGCTTCCTTGCAGGTCAGCGCTGTTGCAAGCAGTTTCTGACGGCGATGCACAGCGTGCAAGCCAGGCGAGGGGTGGCGATGTCCTGCGACATGAAGCGAAGCGCGAAGCAGTCCCAAAGTAGTGATGATGCTGAGAGGGTGCAGAGCCTGTGCCTGTGCCTGCGCCTGTGCCTCATCAGGTCCTGGCTCGTGGAGCACCCGTGGATGAGAAGGACGAGGCCTCTGAAAGTCTCGAAAGCCGGGGGCGGGCTTGACACAGCGCCTCCGTTGTCCGAGGCGGGGGAAACCGCCCTGGTCCTGGTCGGTCGCCAAGAAGCCGACTGTTAGTACGCGCCTGTGTGTCACTTCCCTCTAACGCGGGAGGCTGTGCGAACAGGGCAGGCTGGCCTCGTGGAGGACTTGCAAAGCGAGAGCGGGGTGACAGCTTCAACATCTTTACGATGGGAGCCCTGCGATGCACGGACCTCTGCAGAAATCTGTAGGAGCTGGTGCGGCGTGGAGCGAGCATGGAGGCCACAGCCACGGCGCCGAGAGTGACCGTGGGGCATTCTATAGGGGGTGGGTTTCAAGTTTTCCTGAGCAGAACTGCCTGCTGTAACGACATTGCCAACGAACGGCCACTGCAAAGTGGATCCCCGCATGCAGCAACCCGCGCATTGGTCCATAATTTGGTTCTTAAGCGCAGAGCCAGGTGAGAGACCGCCAGCGGAGCTGGACACCGCTTCACCTGGCATCGGCGAAGGGCGGTGCCGACCGTGGGATGCGCAGGGACAGGGGATGATTGAAGTCCGCACCGGTACCAGTACTGCTTTTGAAGTCGAGATGCCGAAGCCTTTGTGCTTTGCCATCACATCCAGCCTGTTAGATCAGGTATGTGTGTATTCATGACATGGCAATGATTTCACAATCACTCTCCTCTTGCGTGCATTGACAACTACAACCGGCAGGCCCCACTCTGAAGTGACTACACGAGCAGACATTAACGCATAGCCTGACGGTGCGACACCCATGAATTCCGCCCTGCACCTGGTTCGGCGCCGGCGTGCGCGCCGAGTCGGCGTGCCTCGGCGGGACTGGTGTCAAACGCTGATATGGGTGCTTGTAGGTGCATCACTGTGTTACAGTCACACCAGAGCATGTTCCAATTTGTGTTCGAGCTTTCCATGTTGTTGACTGAGGGCAGCACCCTGGAAGATGGATTCCTGTCTGCAGATGAGAACGCTCGTACCGGCTTTTCGCCAATCCAAGCTGGGACACTGTGAGCACCAGCTCAGGCTTTGAGCGGCTGTTGAGCAGAGAGTCTGATGACTTCTTCTTCCGCTCTGAGACACAGCCAGCCTTCGTTGGACAGCAGGATCCGACGCTTGGTTCTCTGCTGGCCCTGCCTGCCCATCTGTGAAGGCATGTCATCAGCTTGGACGGGCCCATGTTGTTAATAGTCTCGACACCACAGCTGTTCTCCGGTTTGAAAACGACTCTTCAACATGAACGCGTGAATGCTCGACCTCTAAGGAAGCTGGCACATCTGCAGATTGCTGCATTGGCTAAGAACTTGTCCATGTTGGACAGCTTGGAGGAGGACCTCGTCAAGGTGAGTGCCTAAGGGGCAAGGTTAGTCAAGAAATGTTTCATGGCTTCGGTACCTGTGCATGGACTCCATTTGCGACATGCCGATCGTACGTCATCTTTGAACTCGAGATGTAATCTGCCTGGGCTTTGTGCTCAGCGCTGCACTTTCGACGGCTGGTGCCCCAAAACTTGACGACTTGACTGCTTGTGCTAGCCGATACTGAGAGTTCGGCGGAGATTGCGCTTGAATTTTGTCTGAATGCATCTCATGTGTATGAAGCAGGCGTTCTGCTTGGCTCATCTGTTGTGACATGATCCTGCAACTGTCGGGTTATGCGTACTGTAATGTCAGTGTAGCTCACAGCAAGCGAAGAATCAAAACTCAGCATGTTTGTTTGTCTGTCTATCTGTCTGTTTGTGTTTCCGTGCATCGGTACGTCTGCCTCTGTGTCTCTCAACACTCTGTGCCTGCTTGTCTGTCCGTCGCCTGTCGGCCAATGTGTCTGTGGTCTGTCCGTCAGCCAGTCAGTCAACAAGTCCGTCAGCCAGTCAGTCAAACTGTTTGCCTGCGTGTCCGTCAATCTCTCTACTCACAAATCTTTCCACCTACAGACCTGTAGGATCCTTATGTACGCTGGATGGACGGATAGACAGAGCAGTCATTCAGTGACGAGGCATTGGATGACCTGGAAACTGCTGCGCATCAAGCACAACTGTTGCTTGCTTGTAAGCTCACTCTGATGTGCTGATTGCTGACCACTGTGCTTGGGTCACAGCACTTCAAGGTCGCAGCTCGGCTCGGTCTCTGCAGCTTACAAGTTCCTGCGCAGCTGCTTCAGGGGCCAAACCCTGCAGGTGTGATCTGCACCAATGCACCGTGGATGTGGCTGGAGTCTAGAGTGTTCGCACTACTAGGAATGCAGCAATGCGGCACATTGCATCTGTGTGTCCAGGACGTCACGCCCCTTATGGAACCACTGCTGAACAAGTCTGAGTTGCTCGGCACTGATCGTGCGCCTGGAAATCATGTGCTTGCTTGTTGTCGGGCGACGGCTACCGGGTGGTACCAGACGGTCTGTCGTTGCTGCATGGTCGTGAGGCAGAACTCAGCCCTCTCTCTTTCCAAGTTTCAAAGAGTTTCCAATGTGTGGACCGACTGCAAGCCCGAGGGAACATCACGCCACCTCCACACCACGCCAACGCGCGTCGGAGCAGCGGCAGCGCTTTCTGAGCCCCACGGCAGCAAGGCGCAGCTGCGGCAGCCCCCCGGTGGGGGGTGGGGGCACATGAAGGCTGTTTCCATGGTCCAAGGCCTGTTGACCGATGCCCAGACGTATGCGAAGCAGCATCCAGATCACGATGGCACCTCGGACCGTCGGAGTGGGGATTTCATGAGAGCTGGTCAACCATGACTGCTACGCCTAGTGCCATCAGCACTCTGGCTTGGTGCTCAGGCATCGCCCTGTTTCAGCAGCGCGTGGCCATGGCTTGGGTCATCATGTCTGATGTGCAAAGACCTCAGCAGATCCTTTCTGCCGTCAAGGACGGGCCTTACGTACCCTCCATAGAGGGCAGGATTCATGGTTTTCTGGGTTCAGGCGAGGCCGCCTTCGAATGCAGGATCCCGTCGAAGCAAGTCAGTCAAGTTACTGTCACTTCATATGCTGTGTTCTCTTTTTAAAGGTAAGGGGAAAGATATGAAGAGAGTAGTTTTGTTTCAACCAAACGAATTATATGAACATAAGGGACGCATGCTTTACTCATTTAACTCAACAAAGCAAGAAAGAAATACGCTAGCTCGTCCAGCGATCTCGGAAGGAGATACGGCGGCTCTTCCCTTTTGAAGTGGACCCAATGGAAGACATGCCGATTCTGTCTGTAGCTTGCCCTCATTGCCGCATGCATGACGACCGGTTCGGAAGAATCGGAGGAGAAGGATGCACTGTGCAAGCAGATAGCATGTTGTGACACGGCTGGTGTTTCGGTCCGTCTTGTGCGTGCGATTAAAGATTGCCTGCAAGCACTTGCAACTTCTGCCAGCCAAGGTCTATATGTGCTCCCTTAGAATCAGATGGTCATACTTCTTTTTGCACCACACTCAGTGCGACTGCTCCACCGCATTGAGCGTGCCACAAGGCTCCAACGTGGGCATGCCTGGCGGGGGTAGCGAGATGACCCACTTGGCCAATGGCCCTAAGCAGCGCACGGGGAAACTCCCTCACCGGGAGTGTTTCTCATCAGAAATGTGTTCGCAAAAATCACGAGGCCGTGAACTGATGTTTTTTTTCATGCTTCCTCGGTGGGACCCTGAATATGGTGAATTCAAAGGGTGTGTTTGCTTGCTGAGTCAAAGGTATCATCCATTCCTTTTGATCTGGAGCTAGCCTTCTAAGGCGCGGAGGTCCAGGCATGAGAATGGAGGGTTGCATGCACGTCTTAAGCAAGGGGTAAGACTGCGCTTCCCAAAGGAAGAAGTACTTGTGTTGCAGCTTTGGTGTCTAAGTCGGTAGGATTCGCGTACGCCGTAGTGCTGCTAGTGCCAAGAGCAGCCGCGTGTTTCATTCCGGACACAATAAATGAGAGAGTAGGGAAGAGGTGAAGGCTGTCGCTCAATCTGACGGCATGAGGACGCATGTTACGCAGTCCCCGCATGTCGCATCACACCTCACATGTGTCTGTTTTGCGCTTCGATTGCGCCTACCCCCCTGCCCTGGCCAAGAGAGCGAGAGACTGAAACCCTTTATCAGAAGAACGCCATAGACACATAGGTGCGCGCTCTTCACCGCCCTGGCCCTCTTTGCCGGGACGATCACAGAGCTGTTCTTTGCGGTGTCCGGTGCCTTTTTGGGCTCATGTGAGGTACATTTGTCCATCTGCAGATGCAATGAGGTTTGCTGCTGGAACAGACATCAGCGTCTGCCAGCAGGTGGCCT